GAGGCTCCAGTTAAATTAATTTAGGCTTCTGGAAGAGACAAATTTGTTTTGACCCCAGGCAAAAGCATTTAGCAAGTCAATTCCTCAAATTAGGTGTTCTTTCTGCTACTACTGTCTTGCATAACCTCAGCTGTGACACTAAAACCTGCAGCTCTATTAGTCACAACTTAGCCCTTCACAGGGTATGTGGTCCCACTACCTCATCCAAAATGGGAAACTGAGTCATCACTTATGAACTGGCTTCCCCAAGCACAGTCTTAGTTTGTAGGGAAGCCACAACTGAATCCAGGTTGCCTTCCTCCTATTCCTTTTCACGGAGAAATCTCGTCATGCTCACTCCCGCTCTTTTTCCTCTAACCTAAACTTAAATCATTGCTTCCTCGAGGCGCAGAGATGGGCAAAATTGATCTTTTAGAGCCAACAAGAGCTTCTGGTTCTTCTCTTTCCGGAGAAAGAGGAAAGTGAAAGAGGAACACGGAACAGAAGAGAGGGACGGTGGGAAACGGGTGCCTCCCAATACTAGGACTCACCTTGGAGCTGAGGTCCTCTCGCCGGTTTCCTGCCTTACTCCTGCGTAATTTGATGGATGGGGATCGCAGCAGGTTCTTGATCCGGCTGGTAATAGTTGACCCTTCCACAGCCATCATGATGAGAAGCCCCCGGGGACAGTTCCTGGCCCAGTCTTGGAACTTGTCTCAAAAGCGGCACTGCCTTCCCACTCCACAGGTCCTTCCAGTATGCCCTCCCACTGACCTGAGATGGCAGAGGCCACCTTATCTTCTGCCTAGCCGTGTCTGCAGCTCTTATCTCTAGGCATTACCCTCTCCCTTCTCCTCATACCTGCCTTCAAGCCCTGCGCGGGTTCTTACGTCTGAAGGACAAACCCATGAAAAAGAGGGGGGGGGAAACCAGAGCTGCAAAGAAATACCAGGCCCACGCCTGCCAGAGACGTTCAGCCAGAGGGATGGGATTGGCCCTGGTAGGGCTTGTGGCTGGTCTGGTCCCCGTTAATGCCCAACTGTTCCCATGGCAACTGCAGTGTCTAAAGAAGGAGGCCGCCGAGGCCACCGAGGAGTCCCGCCCGGGGCTTGGACACCTGAGCCTGGCGGCCGCTGGGACACTCAACGCAGCGGCGCTCGCTGTGGCCCGGCAACCCGTTCTGCCACGGGAGCCTCCCTCCCCCACCCTCGACCCTCGGGAGCTCGCTCTCGGCCCTCCGCAGGGGCCTTGGACCCTTCTCTTTCACCTCCCTCAGCAGCCCCAGCAACTCGCCAGCGCCCCCGCTCGGGCCCAGCCTCACCAGCCCCAGGGCGCGGGGGGCACCCCGCTCACAGCGCCCTCAGGCATCGCGCTCGGCGATTTCGGCTCCGCAGCAGCAGCGGCAGCAGTAGCTATGGTGGCACGAGCGGCTCAAAACGCGAACTACCGCCTGGGCCAAACTACGGGCTGGTGAGGCGGAGCCCAGGCGAGGGGGTGCGGTCTGTAACCAGGAGGGCGTTCTGAGAGTGGACCAGTAAGGCTTATGGGGGCGGAGCCAATAAAAGGGCCTAGGAAGCAGAGATGGGACTCGAAAACTAAGGGTTCCGCACAGTGCAGTCGCGGGGAGCGCTCCTAAAGGAAGGTCAACAGAACATGGCTTCAGAATTGAGAGAACCAGCCTTTTATGGTATTATCAGGCCCGGTCCTCCGAAGTGCACTTCCCAGAGTCCCAACAAGACGGTAACCACGCCCCCGGGGTGCAGCGGTTGGCATTGGATAGGCCCGAGGGACCTTAGCCAAAACTAACTCCTAGCTCACAATTACAAGGTTGAGGTAAAGCTATAACGCTCTGCTCCCATCGACCCCAAGCGCAGGGATTTAAAGCGGTTTGAATCGTTTCTGCTCGCCGCCTCCCCGGCGCTTTAACCTACGTGAAATGACTTCCCTGAGTAACTCTTTAGATCGATAACAAGTGTTTTGAACTGGGCAACCTGATTGGACGTGATCGAAAAAGGGGCGGGAGATAGCCAAGAACTGAGCTTTAGGTGTGTTGAGGGAAGGGAGAGAAGTGAATGCTCCTGAAATAATTTCTTTTAGGCTCCAAGATCCCACCGCACTCTCTCACCTAGAGTTGACAAGGATTTTGTTGATCCAGATCTTTTCCTTGTTTCTGTCAAAATTTACTCTTTTCCCTAGTATCGTTACTTTGGCGAGGTCACCGTCAAACTTGTCGGCACTAGACTTAGTGGTATGATTTTTCTAGTTCATTGTGGGGGAGAGAAGTGGCGCGCGCGCACAGAAATACTCTTTACATACTTCTTAGGTGTCTCCTGTTTGTTTTCTAGAAGTCCTTTGGCCTCGTTGCTACTTCAAGATTGCCTATGAAAAGGTTAACGTAAGCCAAAAGACTCGGACCCCAGACAAAGCAAACGTTGATATGTATAGTCTCACCCTATCCAAATCTTTGGAACCCCTGGGGGAAAGGCGTTAGCAAAAGAGAAGGACCCCTAAACCCACTGCTGTGGGTGCGCCTTGTACAGCCATTTGGCAAAAGGGTTATGTACTTGTATGTATTGCAGCCATGTATTGTAAACGAGATCTGCAAAGCCCAGGTTGAAACAAAAATCAGGCAAGTCACCTCCTAGACGACCAACTGGCAAAGGCTACCAGAAGCATGAGGCTTCCTTCTCTTCCACCCAATGGAGACATAATGCAACATAAAATGGGATTTTCCATTTATTTCTCAAATCTGAAGGAAGGAGGCAAGGGTCAGCCACAAAGTATGTAATGGAAAGTTGGTTCCTTCAAATGCTTGCTACTCTATTTTACCTCTATGGGGGAGAGAGGGAGGAGTGAATGTAACACTAATAAATGGTGCCACCTGCTGTCTTTGTGTGCTACATGCCCCAGCAACTGCCACCTCCACCCTCAAGAGTTGTCCCTAATTCTCTCCGCACCATTTTTGTGTCCACTACTGGTTTTCTCACATCACTTGTGGTCAGGTAAGTTTACAAAGTGTCATTGGTCATTTCCCGTCCAAAGTTAGCCTGGTTTATCCCCTTAGAGACGTTCCCCAAATTACTCTAATTTGAAGCTGAAGCTGTAGAGACAAATCCAAGCTCCTTTCATTGTCTAAAATGATCTAGCTGAAAGACTGCGAACAGTGTAATGAGATATTCTAAGTCTAGAACCTGCATACTTCCAATCTAAGGCCAAACATGTATTTTTAATTCTTCACCATTTAATCCATTTGTCTAGATATCATGCAGCTTTTGAATTGTCAATATGGGAATAGGCTGTAGGCTGTTCCCATGCTTCATGAATTAATTCCTCATAAAATAGTAATCCTAGGTCTAGTGTGAATAAAAGCGCTATCCCTTTCTCCAAACTGCCAACCCACCCTCCAAACGCAGTTGACCCTTATATAAGTATTTCACCATCCATACACTATTTCACTTTTTATTCTGCTTGTATATGTCCTAAACATACATGGTTGTCAGATTCTAAAATTGTATATGTCTAGGAATAGATGCATACAATTTTGCACTATGCTCATTAGATCAAATTTTAAAATTCACCCTAGGCTTAACATGCAAAAAGGTGAAATTGTAAGATTCTGGAAAACTAACAGGCTGGAGTAAACATTTGCTCATCAGTTCAAATATTTATTGAGCACCTTTACATGCAAGGCACTGTGGGACAGCTGAGATCAATGCTTGCAGTTGGAAATAGGATGGATCTCAAAACGCTTCCAAGACTGCTTTCCTACTTAACAAAATCTCTTCTAACAGCAGTCTGCAATGATAGAAGAATTTAGCAGAGCTTAGATTTGTCTCAAAATACCCAACTCATTCCATGGTTTAGCCTTCTCACCTTCCACATATGCCTCCATCACACTATTACTCAACGCTTATGTTATCCCTGTAGAGCAGTTCAGTCATACTTAATATACTGCAACCATGCCTCAGTTCAGAATTTTATATCAAATTATTCCCTTTAGTTTTAAAAATGCATTTATTTTTGACTTATCTTTTTTCTCCAAATGGCAGTGAGTATGTATACCTCAGCTTTAATTTTCTGTATCCAGCCATTTGTGTTCATGTAAAATTTGATTAGAGATAATACAATAACATGAAGATTTGATGTCCTTATAAGGATTTTCTTCAAAATCAACAATTATGTGCCAGAAATGTATTCAGACTCTTGGTTATCCATCATTCTCTACAAAAGTACCTGAAAATGTGGTGCCTACTCTGTGCATTGTTTTTTAATCTGGACGTGAGGAACAAGGGTTATCACCATTTTTCAGACCCGTCTTCAAAGTGCATTTACCTCTCAATTCACCAGATTCCATTCAATTATCTTAACCAGTATAATTAAAAGAAAAACAAAACAAAAAAACAAAAACACACACACTACTAAACACTGCCCCAAATTATGTATGGATTATCTGCCTTTCATCTGTGTTCAAAACATTTCAAACCTGTCACAGAAGGGCCTGTCAGGTATTTCATCCATAGTTCCGGGGAGGGGGAACCCTGAATTTATTATACATTTACCCAAAGTAATTTGCATGAAATTCATAATACAGAGACTTCATCTGTTAGTGATCTCAGTTTGAATGTCTAAAGGACTCCTTTAATAAAACATTTTGTAAATCTTGATACTAGTTAACATGTACCTTGCTTTAAGAACATTTATTGTCCTTAGCCCCTGAGACTGTGTTTATGTCCCATTATTCTCTAAGGTAACTGGCATATTACCTTGCACACATTAGTATTATGAGGCTAGCCTTTCTTCACTGTAGAACTTCTTGAGACAAACACCTGCTGTCAATTTGTGTAAAATTTTGAAGTCTCCATGTAAAACATGCTACGATTAGCAAAAATCTCTCCTAGATGGCATGTCAGAAACTTTGAAAACAGTAAGGAATTCCTATGATAAAACTACTTCAGTGGCACCTCTCTCAAATGACTCAGGGCTGCTGAGTCCAACTCAGCACAAACCCCCAACACCAAATCCTGCTTTAATTATTATAACTGATTTATTTCAAGTTTATACATTCTGCCTTCCACTCACCAAACAACTTCTGTTCTTACATTTCTAAAAAAATAGTCATTTTTCAAAAGCAGAAAAGGAAAGATATATATTTAATATATAAAAGAAAAGGCTAAATCTGACATAATTATATTCTTAAAAACATTCCATTTATTTACAGATGTATAAAAAGGCGAATTATTGGTCTACTGAGATCATGCTTCTTATAGTGTTAAGGTGAGAGCTCACTATCCTCCCAATTCCTCAACTCCTCTCACTCAACTACATCTTTCATAATCACACATGTCATTTTCATAGATCAGTTTCTCCTGGGGTAAGGTTAAAAGGAGTTTTTGGAGATTTGAGATTTCTGTCACGACTGCAGGAGTGTTGTGAAGACTGAGCCCTCCAAATTAGCCCTCACAACTTACTAGTTCTAAGAGGTCTTGAAAACACCATTATCTTGGGAGTTTGTAAAGACATCTGCAGCCTTCCTTAAACACCTGGAATCATCTCTCATTTCCATCTTTGTACATCTCTCATGTCAACTATCTTCCCATCAAGAACTGATTATTACCTGTTTATTTTCTCCTAAAAAAGGGAACAGTGTTCAGAAGCAGAATGGTCCTTCTTTTCCTGAGGATTATTCAACTCACTTGCCTTCTCCTTTGGCTGACCCTCAAAAGCCATAACAAGAGCCTTGGGAAGTCAGGAGGAAATGTGAGGACGAGACAAGCAAGTTAATAATGGGAAACTGCTATACCTGGATTAAAGTACTAGGATCTCCAAGGACAATTATTAGCAGGGGAGACAGGTGCTGGACTCCTTGGCTAAGGCATTGAATGAAATCTGCTGGGTAAAGAGTGGGAGGGATAATGAGAAGCTGAGGGGCACTCATTACCTACTTCAAGCTTCTTCAAAAACCTTTAAAGGAGGGAAGGTTGAATGCTGATGAGCATGTCTAGAAAGGCAAGTAGCACAAAACCAACAAAGAATTTGCTCTCACTGCAATTTGCAGAGGATATTTTTCCACTCTTTTTCAATCTGCTGATTACCAGAGTTACTAGAAAGGGAACCAACCATGGAAGTACTAATTCACTGGCTAGAACCATTCCAAAGCTGGTCTCACAACCTATGTCTGAAGATATGCTGAGTGGGATTTGGCATAAAGAAGGCAAAGGGGGGTGGGGGAGGATGCAGAAGAAATAGCATCACCTAGGCACAGCCCAGGCACTGGAAGCTCTTGTGTTAGTGTTTCACAACACAAGCAAATCCTGTCAATGAAGACAGAACAGGGGTTACATTCCAAAATATAATTATTTAAGAAAGGCAAAATGCAGCAGCTAAATCCCAATCTATACATTTTCAGAATAGTGATTCTTGCCCCCAGGAGTTTCCAAGAGACCCCTCAAGTGCACCATGATTATTTACAAACTAGATAGGAAACGTCATTTCTATACTCAATACAAATCTCATCTTCTTGGCTGAAAACTTCAGCCTTTGAGAAATCTATGAAAACAACTATACAAAAATATAAATATCTTTATCTTTACAGGCTGTCAGTCCTTCACACCCTGACAGCTAATGAGTGAAAAAGCTCTACAGATCATTGAATCCATGGTAGCAGATAATAAAAAATATATCTCGTGATTCAAATACTGCCTCATTTCCCTGGTAAAGAGTGCCTACTGTGACTTTTCTTTTCTTTACATCCTGCGCAGGTAATAGTGAATGAAACCTTCAAGCACCAGGAGGCTGGTTTGATTTGGGAAACATCCAGCCCCACAATTTTTTGTTTTGGCCACTGTCTCTGGTCTGGGCAGGGAATGCTTTTCATTTTAGCTGTCTCTTGAGTGATGTGATTTGTGAAAAGGGGAGAGCTCCCTCTGTGCCTACCTCCAAAATATATATTCCAGGTAGAAATCCCTGGTACTGTGAAATGTCTTTCAACACCCAGACAGTAAGGGAGAACTAGTATTTTCCTTAACATCTCAAAATAATCACCTTAGTATTAAAAGTTAAAAGCATTCCTACGTTACCAGAAGGCTTGGATTTATAATTCTGATTGAAAACATAAGGGAATGGAAGCTACTTGGGATATGAAAGAAGAGAAAATTTTGCTGAATGACACAAAGTGTTTCACTTTGGTATTCCATGGTACCCATCCTCTCTCCCACTACTCTTGAAACACCAACTAAAAACTATCTCTTCTGGATCCCTTCACAGAAGTGCATCACATTCCTTGGATTTCAGACTTAAACCACTTAAAACAACAGCTATCCACTACAGTTCAGCCCATAGCAACTCCAAAGTCTCAAGCAGCTTTTTCTCTGGGAGGGAAGAACTAGGAACCACTATGGACCTAGAGTCTTGTTATGAATTCCTTGGGTAAGAGGGGCACCTCGTGTTCAGTAATGGATCACATCTTCTTAGAGAGGATGAGGAGACCCAGCACCACAAGTGAGGTAACACATTTTAACATGATCAGAATTTCATAGTAGTAATTTCTAATACCGAGGTCAGCACCCTACCCCCCTTTCTCTACCATTATCCACCGCATCAAAGTCAAGGATCACAGCTCCATGACACAAACAGATGCCTACAGAGAAAGGAGGTTTCCCTCATTGCCTGGCTTCTGCCTGAGGACAAATAAGTTCATTTCCCTGCAGAACTTGGTGAGGCCCCAGAGTTGCCCAATTTGGCCACAACAGGTGCCAGTGTAGGCATCACCTTGCTCTCCCGGCATTCCTGGTCATTCCCTGTTAAGTTCATTTTGTGTCCAACCGATCCAACTTTGGCAGCTACAGGTGCCAAAGAAGGCATCACCTTGAGACTCTGACCATCTGCATCACTAGAAGGATTAGCTACTTTTAAACCTAGAGGTGCCAACTTTGGCATAGGCCTCCACAAAGTATCTGTGCTGCTGTTCTCTAGGCCAGCCTTCATGTGTAGAACAGGAGGCGAGGACACACTTTCAGGCTCTGCAGGGACGCCAGAAGTACTCTTCCCTCCATCACTGGCTTTCCTATGGGAAAGGAGGGAATCCTTTATCTCAGAGTCAATAACAATCTTAAGGACATCTGGCTCAGAGGCTGGTTCAGCAAGTTGTTTTTCATTCTCAGAAAAGTCATCATCTTCCAACTGCAAGAGGAGAGGACTGACAGAGTCACTCTCCCCTTGTACATCAGGTAACTCTTTCAAACCAGTTCCCAAGTGGCCAACTTGGAAAGTTGTTCGGTTCCCAGGAGGAAGCTTACTGATAAAAGCCCGTCGAGCATCCCCTGTGAACTCCGTATCCATAGAGGTGGGCAGTTCAGCCAGGCTAACAGAGTCATCATTTAGTTGCTGATTAAGAAAGGCAATCTCATTGAGCAATGAAGTCAGTGTCTCATCAGTATCATCCTCATCTTCCATGTTCGTCAGCAGTTCACTGGGATCCAACGCTGCTTCCTCTATAGCAGATGCTACTTTTCTCAGTTCCATCTCTATACTTGAGTCTTTGAGATCTTTCATCTTCAATTTATGAAATGTAGACTCCTTTGGCTTCAGTTTCTCCCGTCTAGATTCACACTCTTTCCATTTATATTGAATACCTCTCATTTCACTAGAAATCTTTTTGGGTAAGAACTCTTGTGCTTCTTGCATACTGGAAACATCAACTATCTGTGGAAAACCAGAATCTTTATTTGCCAGAAAAACCGGTGTTGGACCCAATGCCATTCTGCCATCTCTATGGTTGCTTCTGGAAGAGATTCTACCCGAATCTTCAAAGGAGTTATCTTCATTCCTGATAGTACTTTTCAGGTGGTCAGATGGCTTGCCATCAGGAACTTCACGAGGATATTTGCTGCCACCCATATCTACCAAACCTCCCTCTGTGGCCAATGATGTCACATTAACAATTCTTGGCATCATAAATAAGTCATCATTTTCTGGAGGAGGAAAAAAAATTCGTTTAGATCTACAGTGGGAAGCATCACTCTCACTCATACCCAATGACCAGAGATCTGAGAGAGTTAGTAGTCCAAATTCACCAGTTTACTTTTTTTTTTTTTTTAAAGATTTTATTTACTGGGGCACCTGGGTGGCTCAGTCAGTTAATCGTCTGCCTTCGGCTCAGGTCGTGATCCCAGGGTCCTGGGATGGAGCCCCGCATCGGGCTCCCTGCTCCGCGGGAAGCCTGCTTCCCCCTCTCCCACTGCCCCTGCTTGTGTTCCCTCTCTCGCTGTCTCTCTGTCAAATAAGTAAATAAATAAATAATCTTTAAGATTTTATTTATTTATTTTACAAAGAGAGTGAGCACAAGCAGGGGGGAACGGCAGGCAGAGGGAGAGGGAGAAGCAGGCTCCCTGCTGAGCAGGGAGCCCGATGCGATGCGGACCTTGATCCCAGGACCCTGGGGTCATGACCTGAGTCGAAGGCAGATGCTTAAATGACTGAGCCACCCAGGCATCCCTCACCAGTTTACATTTGTCAAGAAGATGAAAGGAGTATTAGGTTCAAATTATGAACCTAGACCAACAAGAAAATAGGTAAAACCTAACCAAAGTACTCTAATATTCTTTGTTATTTTAAGTTCTATTTAATTATTTTATAGAAATGCTCCCCAGTTTATTTCTTATCCTGGGGCAAACATGTATCTTGATTCTGTTCACCCAATTAACTGCTACTCTGAGGGTAAAATGAAGCCCTTAGAGGCAGCACTGTTGAAGAAAGGATGACCCCTCCAGAAAGGGTTTAGCAGTATTAGTACTGGTAAACATATCCTTTTACCTTAATAGAAATTTAGGTGCCTAGAACCTAAATCATCAAACTGAGACTTCCTTTTCAATTCTACTCCTTTTCCCCAAAAGGGAGTGGTGCTCAAACTAAATCAGGCTGGTAAAGTAGGAGTGCACCATCTCAGATTACAACACAAAATTAATAAATATTTATTAACACCAAAACCTTCAACAATGACTCATCTTCCTTTTACTTTCGTATGTTTACAATGTTTTTCATACTAGAAATAACTAAAAATCACAAAACAGTTCCCAATCCCAGGTTAAAAAAAAAAAATCAATAGAGCCAAACATGTTATAAAAAGAGGGTCATCTCTTTCCAAGGAAAATGCAAATAGAAGAGATCTTTATCATTACAGAACACATTCAAAGGCTTTCTCTGTCACAGTGAGATACCAGGGATAACTCTTTTTCACTACCCAGAGAGGACAACACCTACAACAACATACCTGACTGAGCCACAGCACTGGTGGCAACTTGAGGCTTCAGATCTGCTTCCAAGAGAGCAGGAGAAACAGTTACCACTGGTCCTGAGAATAAAGGACCTTTTAAGGTGAGCAACTGCCCTTGCGGAGTCATCACGATGTTGGCAGCGGTGTGCGGAGTGTTAGAGGGGGAGGTATTTTCTGTAAGGAAAATCAGAAATAAGTTAGGGATAAAAGGTTTTCAATTATGCCAGTATAACCTAGGAGTCTGGGAGATATCCCTAAAAAACCACACTCTTGACTTAAAAGGCAAGAAGTAAATTTCAAATTTAGTTAGGGAACCTCAACTTGGAATTTACTTTTTGAACCACTTGTCACTGCCTAACGGGTTACCTGTCCACTGATTCTCCTAAGGGACAGAACTTATGTCGAGGAAAACTCAACAGGCAACCACTTTTTCAATGCAATAGTTCCAACAGTCTTGATAAAGAATCTAGATGAAGGCATGCACAATTCTATCCCCAGACTGGCTTTTCTTATATACCTCTAACAAAGTACAAGTTTCTAGCCCTTAAACTTTGTTTCTCCATCTATGAAATGAGCTAGACTACACGATCATTAAAATCCCTTCTTAGCAAAGTTAAAACTAACTCATATTTTAGTATCCCTCCGTACTTTCTTAGATTTCCTGGTTCATACACTAGGCAACCCAAAGAGTAAAAGAGGATACACTATTCTCTAAGGATAAAAACAAGTAATACAAAAGCAACAAGGCCTCACTTCCAAAATCAAGATAGGAGAGAACAATACTTAAAACCAATTTACTTTGTTCCTTAACAGCAATTCATTCATAGGCAATCTGATGAAAATATGGAGTCTGACTCAACAAAATTAAATTTTTTTAAAATTCCAATTTATTTGTCTCAGCAAGACAACTCAACTCATGAGCAAAACTGCAGGGAAATCAAGAGCTTGGGTATAAAGTATGAAAGGATGGCAGCTTTAAAAAAAATATTCACTGAAACATTACAATAACATGACTGCTATCAAAAGTAGGTCTTACATGTTACCGTAACTGGTAACTTCTTAAGATTTGCTTGAGTGTGTAAAGCTAGAAACTAAAATCTAATGTACTTAATATTCTTTTCATACAACCCATCTTTAATTCATTTAATTAAATCTAAAATTACGGCCAAGAGAAGACTCACTCCACTAAACTAAACTGATGTTCACCTACATTAAGGAAAGCAAGAAATGTCCCTCCTACCTGTGGCCTGGTCTCTTTTTCTGGAAAGAATCAAAGGTTTCCCCTTCCTGTTATTTATAAACATCTGTCCAAGATCTACAGATGATGCAGAAGATCCTTCCTGCTGTTTGCTAGTTCTGGGAGACACATCAAACTCATCTGATCCCATCTTCTTTTTTCTTTTTTGTGCCTCTAGTGCTTGTTGTTTTGCATAAATATACTCTAGCTTCTTCAGGACCACTTCTTCTGTCTTACCTACAGGTTGATAGGGAATAAATTGTCACTCTTTATATGACCCCACATAATAATGAGAAATAGAGTCAACTGAAATTCAGTTGGTTTAACTATATTCCCCAAAACTATGGAAGGCAAGAGTGATTATAATCCAGAGGAAACGTCCCACCCAATCAAAAGGTAACTGTTAACTCTGGGAACCAAGCCGTAAACTAAGAAGTATCTGAAAAGTCTAAATGAGGATTTCTCCTCACTAAAGATGTTGTATTATACTCTTTTTACCAGAGATCATTCACATATCTCACCTGAAAGAGATGAGACTTTCCGTATCAAAACATTCCGTTTTCGAGTCAGAAGATTTTTCTGTCCTATCAACTTGTCTGCCTGATCTGTTAGTCCCTGAATTTCGCTGAATGCCTAAGAACAAAAAATTAGTATCATGTGAATTGATTTGCTCTTTTCTGAAAACAGGTAAGGCCTATACAATTTCTTCAATGAAAAAATTTTAATCTAATACTTTAGAAAACTTTATATGTCATTTAAAACAATTCTTAATGCTTCAGAAACTATTATTTGTTAAACTGTAGGAGGTGTTCTGGCTTTACTTCTGAGGAACATGATTATTTCCAAAGAGCATCACTGAGTGTTTCACAGGTGTTTCTACTACTACAAGGAGATACAAAACATTTTACTCTGCTTAGATTTTAATAATCAACTTTAAAATCACCTCCTAGTCTAAGTAAAATCTGGTTGAAATAACTATGTTCTAGACAGATATGAATGCTTGCCTTGTACTCCTCCAACTCCTACTTAAAAGCAATTTAAATAGATATTTAAGATTTAGATATTTCAGATTTCCTTTTAAAATGACTGGTAACTGTTAAAAACTATGTTAAAATATCACTTATGTGGGCCACCTGGGTGGCTCAGTTGGCTAAGCGTCTGCCTTCTGCTCAGGTCATGATCCCAGGGTCCTAGGATCAAGTCCCACCTCAGACTCCTTGCTCGGCAGGGAGCCTGATTCTCCCTCTGCCTGCTGTTCCGCCTGCTTATGCCCTCTCTCTCATACACACAAATAAAATCTTAAAAAAAAAATCAGAAACATTAAAATATATAAGTATATATAAGTATATCACTTATGTTGTGCTTTTCACTGTGGTAAACTATTCTAGGGGCGCCTGAGTGGCACAGTTAACCATCCAATTCTTGGTTTCAGGTCAGGCTGTGATCTCAGGGTCATGAGATCAAGCCCCGCGACGGGACTCTGAGTTCAGCGCAGTCTGCTTAAGATTCTCTCTGCCTCAGGGTGCCTGGGTGGCTCAGACGGTTAAGCGTCTGCCTTCGGCTCAGGTCAGGATCCCAGGGTCCTGGGATCGAGTCCCACATCGGGCTCCCTGCTCCATGGGAGCCTGCTACTCCCTCTGCTTCTCTCTCTCTCTCTCTCTCTCCTCCTCTGTCTCTCATGAATAAATAAAATCTTTAAAAAAAAAAAAAAAAGACTCTCTGCCTCTCCCTCTGCCCCTCCCCTCTCTAAAATAAATAAATGCATGTAAAAAATAAAAAATAAATAAAACGACTGGCAACTGTTAAAACTATGTTAAAATATCACTTATGTTGTGCTTTTCACTGTGGTAAATTATCCTAAGTGCTATGGAGAACACCAACATAAACAGATTGTGGTAAATAGAGCTAACCACAGTTTCTGACTTAATCTGAAGTGAAGATAGCTTGGCTGGTTAAGAACTTGACTTTAAATGACAAACTACTCTGACTCAACATGAGGGCTTTTCCCCGTAAGAGATCTGTTGGGTGTTCACTAGTCCACATTCAGATGTTAAATATAAGCTCTACTTCAATCTCCCTCTTAGGGTAATGATTCTCTTTCTCATAGTATCTCTAGAAGATTCTCTTAGTCAAATTCTTATTTGTGGGTCACTTACAGAAAACACTTACCCTAGTGAGAATGAGACTTTTGGAAACCTTGGAAGAATGCAGCAATCCCAATGTGATCTTCAATTTCTCAAAGAGATCCCTCATTTCACCACGCCGACGACGCTCATTGGCAGTGTGTGTCCGGCGATAATAAGCAAAAGCTTCTGCTTCTTTTTGTAGTTTTTCACTCCAGTAATCAGGCTTCAGTTTCAGAGGAATTGGTGGAGCCTATCCAAACAAAAGATTGCCACCTAATTATCTTTCATTTGTACCTGCCTTCTACCTCCATCCCAAATGGCACTGTTCCATACCAGATAGCTACTGTTTTCTGTCTGGACTATTTTAACAACCTCTTGATATTGGTCATCTTACTTTCAGTCCATCCTTCCTCCAAATCTAGTAACCAACAGTGTAAATCACTTCCCAGCTCAAATTTCAGTGGTTCTCAAATGAGGAAGAATTTGAAGAGGGAAATCTAACAAAAGGTTATCCATATAATTTATTATTAAAACTTGTTTTCATGACACAAATCACATGAAAAATTTCAACAAAATTTTAATTGATGGAAAACAGGTTTAAAAATTTTTTTAACTGCTTTAAGACCTTTTACAGTTGGTAAAGGATCAACCGCCTCTCTTCCTAAATCACCATTCTCTCCAACCATTCCAAAGTGCTAGAAGTTTCCAAAACGCACTATGCAATCTCACACCACCCTGCCATTATGAACTGTTGCCTAAACCTATCCCTCCCATCCTATCCTCCAAAACTTAACATTTAAAGAGTCAAACTTTGCATTTTTCCAGAAAAGCCTTTCTTGACCCTCAGTATGCCTTAGGCTTCTTTCTGTTATTCTCTTTCACTTTTAAAAATTACTTACTAAAAAAAAAAAAAAAAAAAATAGTAATAATAGATGCACATAGGGTTTTAAATATAAATATTTGAAGAGCTTATAATGAAAACCAACTGTTTTCAGTTGGTTGCCCAACATTTGTACCTGGATCCTTAAAAACAACCACTTCCTGATTCTTTTAGAGGCTTCTTCTGGTTCTTGAATCTATATTCTAAGTAAAAAACAGTAATATAACCTTATTCTTTTCCATTTTCAATGCTATCTGCTTCCTGCTATGCAGAAGACTTAGCTCACACCACTCTAACATCTCACATTCTTCCTAATATAGACATGTCATTAATTTTAATTCTTATATTGATCCCTTTGCAACTTGAATATAATTCTGTATCAATTTCTCATTTCATCAACACAGTATCTTTGTAAAATGAGGATATCAGCACTCGTATCCTTCATTTCTTCTTCCCTCTTTCACCTCCCAATTTGTCATTTGTACTTACACATTTTTCAAGACTTCAAGTCTTCCATACTTTATTCACAGATTATGAAAACTTGAAAAAAATCATTAACAGTGGCTACCTTAAATCAAGACAATGTGAATACTACTCATACAAAGTGAGTCATAATTATATTCCCTGTCTTCTACAGTTTCTTGGTTTTGTGTTTTTCCCCCTCTAATGTCTGCTTTTTTTTTTTTGACAGTTGGCCTTTATCATAAACCAGATAGCACCCCAAAACTCTTATATAAAATCATTCTTTCTGAAGTCAAACTCATTGTGCATTAATATAGTATAAGAAAATAAAAGATACAAGATAGAAAATTAATATCAAGTTTAATTATAGTAAGACACTACAAATGATTTGCATGTAATAATTAGGGTACAAAACAGTGCCTTGTGTATATAAGCTATTATGAAAAGTCTTACATCTGAAAAATGTTTTAGAATGAATGAAAAAATATAAGTGATAGATGCAAAATGATTACAATCATGTAAATATGTACCACCCAAAACCAGACCAAACCCAAACTAATCACCCAGTCGTTTTTGAAAAGGCTTGAATACCACTCTCCACCTCAACCCCATCTCCATCACTGTTTTTATCACTTAAATTAAAAAGACAGAGTAACAAGTGGAAAATGGTTTAAACAACCAAACTCTCTTCCATGCTTAGCCTAAGGATAAGAGTAAAAAAACCCTTGCTTAATTATGGTGCCACGACATCATACATTTAAATACGTCAAGAAAATCAAAGAGGGCTCATAATTTAATGGCTTCTTGAATTGCTAGCCAACATTCAGATAATAATTAATTTTTTAGGTCACTGAAAATCATGAGCCTAGACAAGAAAGAATGCCAACCTTTTTTCACATCACACAATTAGAATATAGGATTAGTTTTCAAATAAGCACATCTATTTTCATCAACTCCGTACCCATTTTAATTCTTCTAAAATAGTCTATTTAGCAGTAGAGAGTTAAGAGGGGGGAAAAAAGCCTTTTAAGAGTATAACTTCATTAAGAAAAAAAGCTAATTATATTAACTCACTGGCAAAAATAGCCTGTATTAGTCATAGCTAATACAACAAATGTTATTTTAAACCCTAATGACAAATGTTATCAATTTAATTAAATGAGTAATTGTCATTAAATATATTGTAAATACCTTTCGACTCCTTTCAGCAGCTTTTTCATCTGCAGAGATATGGGTACGGCACCTAGGTAAAGACAATATTTTCCAATGTCTTACTGAAATTCAATAACCCAAGACCTATTTCACAGCTACACTAAACAAAACCATCCCAAACTGTTTAAAAGTATAACCAGCTTCTTTTTGCCAAGGTCTGATATGGAGCAATAGGATTTATTTCAACAGTATGCTTTTTTCACTAAGTATTCAAATAGTCCCTAAAACTGCAAATTACTTTTTCAATCATGAAATATTTCATATATACAAAACTGTTTAAACAAAATATATAATGAACATCTGGGTGCCTACCACGTAGTTCGAGAAATAAACCATCTCAAATATACAGGAAATCTTTTTTTTTTCCATTTCAAATTTTAATTTAAATTCTACTTAGTTAACACACAGTGCAATATTGGTTTCAGGAGTAAATTCAGTGATTCATCACTTACATACAACACCCAGTGCTCATCATATCAAATGCCCTCCTTAATACCTATCACCCATCTAGCCTCCCTCCATCACCCCTCACCTCTCTCCCTCATCACCACCACCACCAACCCCTCCCCCCCAACCGGGCTCAGTATGTTCTCTAAGAGTCTCTTATGTTTTCCCTCTCTTTCCTTCCCCCCCGCCATGTTCATCTGTTTTGTTTCTTAAATCCCACATATGAGTGGAATCATATGGTATTTGTCTTTCTCTGAATGACTTACTTCACTTAGCATAATACACTCTAGCTCCATCCATGTGGTTGTAAATGGCAACATTTCATTCTTTTTGATGGCTGAGGTATTCCATTGTGTGTGGAATACCACCACACACCACATCTTCTTTATCCATTCATCAAAAAATACAGGAGATCTATGTGCAGCCCACCCAATCACATTTCCTTCCTCTCTTCCTTCTCATAGGTGAACACTCTCAAAATGAGGGTTTTCTTTTTTTTTTTTTAAGATTTATTTATTTTGAGAGGGGGGGAGAGAGCATGCATGAGCGGAGGGGAGGGGCAGAGGGAGAGAGACAATCTCAAACAGCCTCACTGCTGAGCGCAGAGCCCGATATGGGGCTCGTTCTCACGACCCTGAGATCATGACCTGAGTCAAAATCAAGAGTTGGAGGCTTAACCAACTGAGCCACCTTGGGTGCCCCCAAAATGAGTTTTTACCATGCATATCTTTGCAGTTTTACTAGGAATGTATGCATCCCTAAATAGAAAATATTATGTAGCACTTTAAACATTATATATGTGTGTGTGTGTGTGTGTGTGTGTGTATTAAAGATTTTATTTATTTATTTGACAGAGAGAGACACAGCGAGAGAGGGAATGCAAGCAGGGGCAGTGGGAGAGGGAGAAGCAGGCTTCCTGCAGAGCAGGGAGCCCTATGCAGGGCCCGATCCCAGGACCCTGGGATCATGACCAGAGCCGAAGGCAGATGCTTAACAACTGAGCCACCCAGGCGCCCCTAAACTTTTTTTTCTTTTTAAGATTTTATTTCATTTATTTGAGAGAGAGAGACACAGTGAGAGAGGAAACACAAGGAGGGGGAGTGGGAGAAGGAGAAGCAGGCTTCCTGCTGAGCAGGTAACCTGATGCGGGACTTGATCCCAGGACCCTGGGATCATGACCTGAGCCAAAGGCAGACAGATGCTTAACGACTGAGCCACCCAGGCACCCCTACCCCTAATATTATTATAGTGTATTTTTCTTCATCTGATTTCACTCAACGTTGTATTTGAGATATCAATAGACACAGTTCTAGTTCAATCATTTTAACTGCTACATAGTGTTCCGAAGTGTGAAATTTCCAAAATTTATTTTTCAGAATTCTAATAATTGTTTAGGTTGTTTCCAAATTTTCTCAATGGCAAACAATGCTGCAATGTATAGTCCCATACATGGCCCCTTGTACATATGTGTGAACTTTTCCAGGATATATATACCTAGGAGTGGAATTTCTGGGTGGAAGAAAGGTATGGAAATCAACTTCAGTCATATCACACTACTCTCCAAAGCAGTGCTAACAATTTATACTCCCACGTGCGGTATGTTCCCATTGCTCCACAACTAGACACAATAGTCCTATCAGACATCACAACTTTTTTTAAAAAATTAAAAAAAAAAATCACAACTTTTGCCAGTTTTAGGGATGTGAATTAATGAAGTCACTGTAGTTTAATTTGTATATCCCCAAATACTTGTGAGGTTAAACAAATTTGTATGTGTTTACTGGCCATCCATGTTTCCTCTTCTGTGAACTGCATGTGATATCCATTACATATTTATCTACTCCATCATCTTTTTCTTACTGACTTAAAGATTTTATTTCCTTGATACTAATCCTTTTTCAAACATGTATGCAAATATTCTCCTTACAGTGTAAGTTTGCCTTTTCAGTTTTCATGATGTAGTGAGAGAAAATTTTTAAATGTTTAACAATCTGTTCCTTTACAATTTGTGCTCTTTGTGTGTTATTCTTGGCCCTTTATTATTCCAGCCCATTAAGATGGTATCTTTCCATTTATTGAATTGATCGTCAATGTCAAACAGTAACATTTTATAAAAATTTTACACAGCTTTTGTTAATAATCCCAAACATGTTTTTTTGTTACTATTCTGTTATTATTATAAATGGTAATTTTTGTTTGTTGCTATTGTTTAGAAAAATCAACTTTAGTATAATCAGCATATCCAGCGATACTGCTAACCTTAAGTCTAATTAATTACATTGTTACAAGATTTAAACTCTTTCAACCTTGACCAATAGGCAGCTGAAGTAGCCTCCAAATAGCTCTGGAATGAAGAAAATTATTAGACCTACGTCCCCAGCCTGAGACTTCCTCAGCATCATCAGGGATGAAGAATTACTCTTTCTCAACTCACTGCTGTTTTACATGGCGGTTAATGAGGTAACAGGAAAAGCACAAAGTCTGGCACAAAATAAGGACTCCTATCTTACTTCCATCAACCTCTCACACCCCAATCCCTAATCAATACGTAACACAAAAAATGGAATAAATTTTCCTGACCAAGTCATCATACTCTATTTTCATCTCATCATCTGTGAACACATAAAAATTTCCCAACTCTATCTCAACTGTTTAACCAGCAAAGTAACCAAATTTAGAATTTAATGTCTACTCTTAAAAGATAAAGGAACTAACTTCTGTTGAGTAGTCCACTTGTGTCAGTTACCCTAGTCGCAAATTGGGGGCATTTTCCTCACTTCACAGGTAAAGAATCTAAGACTCAAAGACTTGCCCGAGGTTAAACAGCTACAAACAAAACTAGTATTTTAATACCCATGTGTCAGGCTCCAAAAGCACAGGTTATTCACATTCACACATGGTCTTCTAGCAATAACCAAGGCAAGTTAATTACCTCTGAATTCCAGCTCCCTCTTCCTCTACTAATCAGAAAAAAGCTAGAGGAATAAAGAAACCAGGTCAGTTATCCAGAGCTCCTAAACAGAACATTTAATTTTGTATATGGTCACAAAACAACAATTAACAAAAAACAAAACTCCAAAGACAAAGTAAGACTTACGGCTGTTTGAAAGTCTGTGTTTGGGCAGCTGTGGTCTTCATGTGGGCAACATTAATTTCCTCAGAGAGCTCTTCCACAGTCTCAATGTCCACCTGTTCCTCATCATCCTCAATGTATTCTACACAGTTATTCTGAAATAAAGCATTCCAACAGTAAATAAAGTATTGGGAAGCAAACACACCTAAACTTTTCAACCAAATGTTCCCTTTATAAAACCAACCAGGGCCAAACACTGATTTTACACCATGAATACTGATGATCCTAAACTTCATCATAAGAAGGAATTAGTTACGAAGACAACACATGGTTAGAGCTAACAACCAAGCACTACATTAAAAATCATAGATACATACTGAACAGACATCACTAGACTGAACAGAGTCCCCAGAGGGCTGTATATGCTTCTGTGTTATTTCTAGCGGACAAAATTCAGGTACAAATATATTAAAGCTTCATAAATCTTAAGATTAAATAGCAGTAAAGTAAATTTGGTGAATGGGTAAGGGGGAAAGGAAAAAAATTCAGGTTCTATTTTAAGAGTGCTTCATGGCTTAACCCCTTAATGCACACCCACAAAAACAAACTCAAGGCAGATATGAAAATAGAATACAGCCCAGAGTCAGTCTTCTAAGCCTCTTAATCCCACACAAGGAAAGCTTCTGAAGAATTTCAGGTATCAAAAAAAGCCCAAGCTTACTGTACTTGCTTTACTGTACATTAAAAAAAATAGTAATAAAGTTGGGCCGCCTGGGTGGCTCAGTTGAGTGACCAACTCTTGATTTCAGCTCAGGTCATGATCTCAGAGTTGTGAGATCAAGCCCCACACTGGGCTTCATGCTCAGCACAGAGTCTGCTTGTCCCTCTCCCTCTGCTCCTCCTCCACTCATGCGCGCACTCTCTAAAACATACGATCTTTAAAAAAGTCAATCAGTAAGCATTTATTGAGCACCTATCATGGAAACTCACTGTATTATTTTATGTAAACAGCAGAATATATAAATTATGGAATATGTAGATATATTTAAGTCCACCTTTAAAAGTAGTGTTTACTATGCCAGAAACTAAACTGGGAATATGTTATCTGTTTATAATAGTACTATAACTGAGAGGCACAACTTAAAATGAAGCATCCCAATCACCTTATTAATTCTGTTTAAACTTGATGGAAAAATTACTTACCCCCATGACTTATAGGTTCCATAAGGCTGATAGACACTAAATGCAAGCCATCAATTATGGTCCCCAATTTAAACAATGTCTATTTAATTTAAACAATGTGAACAATATATATTAACTCTAGGAAGCTAAATCAACAGAGTCCTGACAGAATCTAAAGAGTCTAAATTATAATGTAGGTAGATGCTTTATGGTATTTAAACCGAAGAATGTCTGCCTACAGCATGGCTTTAACTGCAGGCTTTATAAATAATATCCAATAAACTTCACAATAGAAGATTTAAAGAGGCTACTCACTACCTTCCTTACACTATTCCAGTATAATGCTAATCACATGCACAAAAATATCATACATGTCGGACAGGTACAGAAATACAATGCAGAATTTAGATTTTTAGAGTTCATTTAATATAATGCCCGTACTTTTAAAAAGGTCACTGTACCTTGTATGTCAGATTCCCTATTAGGAAATCCAAGCAATGTCACCCTTGATTAAGACTTCAAAGCTTCTGTCAGTTCTACTGACAGCAACAGTTTTCACTGGTTTTAAAGCTGGACTGTCTTTGGTCTGATGCTTACCCAGGCTGACTTACAATGGGAGATTCTGCAAAAAGCAGAAGAAGATCTGCAATCTAACTCTTAAACTCAATGAATTCAGATTCTTCAGCTACCCACAGGTATCTGTCCTCAAAAAGGATGAGGCTACAGACAGAATATAAGGCAAATGTATATAAAATCATCTAACAATAGAGCTAGATCCTCATTTTACAAATAAGACAATGAGGTACAGAAATAACCAACATAGGAACATTAGAATGTTTAAACATTTTAGAGTTTTAAAATACTAATCTTTCTGTTATATTTTATCTGCATAAGGCAGTTAGGCATTAACAGAGAAGGACCAGGGGCGCCTGGGTGGCTCAATCATTAAGCATCTGCCTTCGGCTCAGGTCATGATCCCAGGGTCCTGGGATCAAGCCCCGCATCGGGCTCCCTGCTCCGCGTGAAGCCTGCTTCTCCCTCTCCCACTCCCCTTGCTTGTGTTCCCTCTCTCTCGCTGTGTCTCTGTCAAATAAATAAATAAAATCTTTAAAAAAAAAAAAAAAAAGACAGAGAAGGACCAGGTTAACACAGAGACTGAATCTCATGGAAGGGAGAACTGCATGACAATCACCAAAGGGCCATATTATCTGCTCCTAGTTAGAGGGACACGGTTTAGATTTGAGGGCACCCTACAGAGAGCTGGCTACAATCTCCTTATGTTTTAATCAAACCCCATTGCCAGGTGTCAGCAAACCACAGCCTGCAACCTGTTTTCGTAAATAAAGTTTTACTGGAACACAGCCACACTCTCACTTACTATTGTTTATGGCTGCTCTCACGCTATAACAGCAACTGAGCAGTTGCAACAGCAAGCCATCCAGCCTGCAAAGTCTAAAATGTTAACAATCCAGCCCTTTACAAAAAAAGTTTGTCCAACTCCTGCCCTATATGTTTCTCACTTAGATAGGGTTACAACCTTAAATACGAAGTCTACAAAAAAACGGCTTCAGAAAAAATTTTTGTAAAAATTATAGAGGTCATATTACAAAGGGAGATAACCAAAGTTTAAAACATAAACTCTAGAAACTAATTTTAGGAAATAATTTAAAAGCAACTTAGGGCAGGGTGATAATAAAATATTAAATGGTATTTTCCATTTTTCTCCAAAAAGAGACACATCTCTCTAAATGTAAGCAGTAAGTTCTCCTCTAGTTCTAAGGTCATCCATTCCCTGTTTTTTATATATCTACCAGATAGGCTGTAACCGCTTCACACAGAAAATGTCCAAAAAAACAAAACAAAAAAAAAAAAAACTGAGAACAAATGGGAGTAGGAGTTTCAGGATTTCTTTCTTAAAACCTAACTTGAAAGGAACTCTCAAGCATCTATCCCCCAAAGGCATGAGCCAGCCTTTCGGTAAGAGCAGGCAAGTCTCAAAGAACAATATAAGCTCAATAAATGTTACCTGACTGACACAGCCTAAAAACTATGAAGTCACTTAATCATGATCTAAACCTAGGCATCCAAATCAATGCATCAGGTCTTAGTGATCTTCTGGAAGATCAGTAGCTACTGTCTCTAATAAATCATTTTAAATTCTTGAGGTTTCAGTCACAACAAAAATGGGCTCACCACCTTTTCTACATCATCAACCTCCTCACTCTGGTAGTCAGAAACAACATCCACAATCTCATCAATAGAATCATCGGTTTTCTCATTCTCATCTTCCTCATCCTCCTCTTCCAAATCCAAAACAGTCAAGTCAGCACTGCTTCGCCCACCCTTCTTCTCTTGCTTTGGTTGTATCTGTTCTCCTGACAGCAGTAAGTGACCTTGAAAATGTCCTTCCCCTCTGCTCCCTTTTGTAGCTCTCCTCGGAACAATGGAGAAGACTGTAGGACTAGAAATCTTACTCCAAGAATCACATTCAGTTTTTAAAACTCTGACATTTTCAGTAGCTCCACTTTTTCCAAGTAGATCAGAGATGCCTTGTTCTTGTTGAAACACATCAGAATTTTCCTGACAGGTCTTTATTTCTTTAATTAACGGCTCATCTGCCTCTTTCTTGCATTCTTGTGAAGTTCCAACACATTTCTGGGTCAGAGGGCCCTTCAGGTGTTTTCTCCATCTCTCCCTAATACTGTCCTTCTCCAGAGAGTCTCCACATCCCTCTTCCTTGGCCTCTGGCTGTGGAAGAGATTGCTGCTCCACAACTTTGCTCCCTGATAATTCGAGTTTACTTTCTTCCTTAGAGATGATTGGAAATTCACTTGATTTTTCCTCTGGATTTTCCAATCCTTTCTGCTGTTCCACTTTTACATCACCAAGCTTTTTAAGCTGTATATTACTTATACTTTGGACTGTCACATTGCTGGCTTTTTTGGAAATGGTCTTAACTTCTAGAACAGCCACTTTTTCTTTGGAACTGTTATGATTTCTAATCCCATACTCTTCATCAACATCTTTATAGTCTTCATCTATGTGTGACCCAGTGATATAGGAGTGCTGAGAAGGTTTAATAGTTACAGGACCCTCTTCTGTAAGAGACTCTTCATCTAAATGATCACCCCCACCTCCCACAGAATCATGCAGGATTTCTTCTGAGGCAGTAGCCCCTGAGTTTTGCTTTATTACATTAGCTTCGGAATCTACAGTTTCTCCTTCTGGCTGTAGGGCCTTCTTAGTATCCTGCTCTCTTTTTAAAAAGCTTGTTTCATCTTTCTGGTCTGCACTCTGAGACTCTCTCTTCATCTGAAGAGAAGCAACATGTTGAAGAATGGAACTGGGAACAGGCTTTTGTCCAGGGAGCTGCAACAAAGCAAAACTACCAGACTGGAGAGGAATAAGACTGGCTGTACCAACAGGCTGCCCTCCTGAACTATAGGTTATTTTGGTTTCGGAGCCTGTTTTACTTGCAAAGCTTTGTGGTTCAGGAGGGGAAATCCTCAGGGTCAATGTACCAGACTGAGATACAAAACTAGGTCCAGAAGAAAGCAATGATGGTGCCTGAGTGATAACATTCACTGGTGGAGAAGACCCAACAGCTTGAATTACAGGGTTCATAACAGAGAAAGCAGAGGACGAAGCAGAAGACGGTGGAGTCTCTGAAGGTTTGGAAGGAGTGGGTAACCGAATTCCCATCACAGAGCCTGGTAAGAAAAAAAAATTTCCCTTTTAATTATCACTGCTCGTACCAAGACTCCCAAGGTACGCTTTTCTTTTTGGACAGGTTAACTCTAAGAGACTAAGAAATCCTAGTGTATTAACATGCCATATGGCCAAATGATTCCACAAAAGAAAAATGCATCAGAAAAATCTCCAATTTTATACCTGGGTTCCGAAACATAACAGGCTGTAAGCTGGGCTGGGTATTAGAGCCTCGAAGCTGATGCAAAGGGAGGAGCTGAACAATCTGCCCGTTAGGATGCCTGAATAGATTCATTCCACTTGGGCTCCTAACAGGCTGCAAAACCATCCGATGCCCCTGAAGTTGTGTGTTTGGGACAGGTCTAAGAGTAGGAGAACCCTGCTGCACTGGAATCAGCAACAATCGAGGTCCAGTACGTTTCACTGTGTTAGGAGAGACCTGGGGAGTAGCCACTGGAATCTGAGGGGCATTTTCTGAAAAACAGGAAATGGAAACATAGTTATCAGAATTTCCCTTTAATACATGTAGGAAAAATTATTATGATATAGGATCTGACCACACTACAAATCATTTCTAATTTGAATTATACAGTTGGTGAAATCCTGTACCTCTATCATACATTACTTAATAGTCCTATGGCTGAGAACAATTTATCTTAAAACCTAATTATCAAGACATTGTAGGACTTTACATTTAGAATGGTAAAAAAAAAGACAGAAAAAAGAAAAGGAAAGAAAGAAAGAAAGAAAGAAAGAAAGAAAGAAAGAAAGAAAGAAAGAAAGAAAAGAAAAAAGAAAAGAAAGAAAGAAAGAAAAAGAAAAGAAGAAAGCATCAATTGTCAAGAGGTGCATTTAAAAATAGAGATAATGCCTCTGCCTAATGAAAAACATGGCAGGCCTCTAAATCTGGATTCTCATTAAAGTTAAACATCATTCATGATAAAATTCTCTTCTTCAACCTTATAATTCAGGTTGTTAACGTTTACTAAAATTATGACTTCATTTCACAGGTCATACTCAAGTAAGATAAAGTCCAGGACTAAAAATCATGAGGCATAAAAAACTCCTTGGCTTTTAAAATTCACTGACAAATAACCAAAGCATAAAGATCTGTGGAAATTATTTTTCAGAAGGAAAAAAAAATACATACCCCCAAAAAATGGAATGAAATTAAGAGACATCAAAGAAGCAGGGAAATAAAGCCTGGTTAGGAAGAGGCAAAAGATAGTTTTAAAACAAACAGAAAAAGCAAAAATTTAATGCAGAAGATGTGAATTTAAAAAAATTTCAAACCATTAATAGTACCTAAAGACCCATTTTAATGTTTGGAAGAGATATTTAGAAATACTGAAGACATAGAAAAAAAACAGTGTGAATAATCTACAGATAGATTTTTGGTCATGGGGATAAAAAGGTAGGAATAACGATAATAGTATGCAGAAATGAAACAAATCTAACATTACCATTCAAATTAATGAACTTACTTAACATTATTAATAAATATTTTTGTTAGTTTGTCGCTAAGACAAAAATCAACAAACCAAACAAATCAGTTTAACATGGAGACTATTAGATAAGCACTCTACCCACAAAACAAACCAAACTTCTAAAAAGAAATTATGCTCCTAATATTTACATGACAAGTTATATATAAGATCCAGAACTACTCTTGAAAATGAAAATAAAATGCAAAAACCAAACTGTTCACAGGGGGGTAAAAAATGTGCAATTTAAATAAAAAACATCTTACATAATTTAAGAAACACATTAAAGCATTCTTCTTAATTTCCTGAACATTTCTGTTCAAAGAACATTTTAGGGAGTGATTCAAACCCAAAGCACTCTAATCCAGAGAATGAAAGCAGCTTTTAATACACACACTAAATATGTGATTATTTATTCACATACAGGTGAGGGCAAGAAGGAAAAAGAAAAAGAAGGGAAGTTAAATGAGAAAGTCACAGATGTCTAAGTGCCCGAGTTGGGATCCTCTTTATGAACCTAGAACAAAATTACACACACTTAGAAGTTATCAGAGTTAGCTCCATTTAAAATAGAGCAGTTAAGAAAATCTGTTAACATTATTATTTCCTCAAGTAGTATTAATAGAAAATATTTTTAGATGGTATATGGATATAGAGAATCACCATATCACATTGTCAGAAAGTAATTTCTTTTTCAATCTTCTGATTATATACAAAAGAAAATACCAGTCTTTGATATTACATCAGCATTTTCTTGGTTTCTTCATTAACAGAGTGCAAGCCACATGTTAACATATGGTAGCTACCTAGAATATATTTCTTTTTATTATTCTTTCCAGTGTATGAACCACTGTTATGGCAAGTAATGTTGGTTTCCAATTACAGTAAAATTGCTTTTAAAAATACATTTAAGCAAACAAAGGAGTTGATTTAAATAAAAATATTAAGTCAGTAATAATACAAATGAGAATCAGAGCAAATACCTCAATGTATATTCCAAGTGACTGGAATCTGAGAAACAGCGAACCACAAAAAGCTAAACTACTTTATAGTTTTCATGACAGAATTAAAAAAGGTTGGAATCTGTATCGTTTAGAAAATCTCAGTTAAAATGTAACAGGATATAAAAGCCCTTAGCCTGGCTGTAGCATGGCAGAAGCCCTCTGCTCTCTCTTTTTTAATTAAAAAGAAGCACACACAGGGATGCCTGGGTGGCTCAGTTAGTTAAGTGTCTGCCTTCGGCTCAGGTCATAATCCCCTATTCTCAGGTCCTGGGATGGAGCCCCACATCAGGCTTCCTGCTCAGCGGGGAGCCTGCTTCTCCCTCTGTCTGCTGCTCCCCCCTGTATGTGTGCACACACACGTGTGCACGTGCTCTCTCTCTGGCAGATGAATAAATGAAATCTTAAAAAAAAAACACAAAAAAACAAAAGAAGCACACACAGCCCCCACCCCCACCAAAAGGGAACACCTACATTTGGGTTCTCTCCTCGGAGATATGCAACCCTAGATCTCAGCACAGCAGTGCACTTTGTCCGGTGCCCATCTTGATGGCCGCTCTACTGGCTCAGAACTCCACTCCCACATGCATTATTTCAGATTCAGTCAGTATTTCCATTATAATGTTTTTGAGTATTTTTAATCTCCTCAGAAAATCTCCAGCCCCACACTAAACCATCTGTCAAGGTTGTTCAATTTATTTCCAAAGTACCAGTTATGGTTTTTATCAGTGCTCTGGTTACAAAGTTGCAGAGATTTTCAGTGATTTGTCCTAACCGATATTAGCCATGAGGTCTATTATTTTTAGTGTTCAGTTTTGCAGATCCATGCATCACGTTATAGGAGAAACACCTACACTGTTACCCTGATATATCTGTAATCCTATCAAAACCCTAAGTTTTATAAAAACAGCTGTACAGTAGGTAAACCAGCTAGTAACATCTAAGCCTTACCTGGTCTCTGGCTCACTGGTGGACTCCCATCAATTCCCGAGAGTATAATGGGAACAGAGCCCAGAGATGAAGTTGGTGTGGTCACCATGGAGGAAGATGCAGCTGTGGTCACCACGACTATGGAGGTGGAGGCAGTGGAAGCAACAGGAAGAGTTATAGTTGGAGGAGATGCTACCAAAGACTTAGGAAAAGCAACTGAAGCCACAGGGGTAGTTATCCCAGTCGTTTTGATAAGGTTCACAGTGGCTGTAGACTGGGAAGGTGTTACAGGGGTGCTGGTATTAGTTTCAGAAACCTCAACAACCCCTGCAGTGGTGGCACCAGAAGAATAAGTAGTTTCTTTAGTTCCCACGTCAGAAATAGCAGTCATAGGTGTCACAGCAGTAACATTCTCTAAAAACACTTGAGGGGTGGTAGTAGTGACAGCAGCAGTCACAGGGCTGCACACCTGAACTGGCTCAGAAGAAACCACAGGTGTGACGACCATTACTGGAGAAGGTCTGATACTGAACTTCTGTGGCCCTGTTAGGGGTTGGGGTGTGCTAACTCCAGGTATCTTCTGCTGCAGGGCTCCAACTTTACTCATCACAAACTGTGTGAACACACCACCAGGAGAGGGTCGAGCCGCTGCAAATAAAAATTTGCAGGTCAAAAATCTTCAGTTCTCATATTTTATCCTCTTAGTGATTGTGTTTATCAACATTTATTGCGCACCACTGGGTCAATTTCTTACAGGTACCACCTACCTGCATGGTATGTGCCAATTTCCACCCACAGAAATCAAACACTTCTCTCAAACCAAACCAAACCTTTATAATACTATGAAAGGGATTAAAATTGGGTGTTCCTACCAAGATTCTTTTGACTGTAATACAGCCAAATTGTCAGGACACTAAAAAGACAATATAGCAGCACACAACTTCATCACCTAAAACAGTGAAGAAAGGAGAATTTTTTCTCCCCTAACTCTAATTTTAAAACTTGTTTCACCACTTCCTCCTGTCCCAGCACCTCCACCTCTTTATTACTGCTTTCCTGTTATGAGACAGTTAAGTTTTACATATTTCTAAAATGTATAAAGACACTTTTCAAAAGAGGGCAGAATAGGATTTATTTTTTGTTTTTTGTTTTTTTTTAGCAGGATAGGATTTAAAAATCACCAGTTAAAGCTGCATTGTTTAAAAAGGTAAAATGGGGTCTTTTTAAGGCATACAATGCCTGTCCTCCATCTTCATATAACTCCAGCTTTCAGCCAGATATTTCAATTTCCCATCAGAGGAATAAGAATACAGCAATGGACACTTACACTTAATATTCCTAAACAGATTTGAACAAAAAGAATTCAAAAAACTGACTAATACACTCTAAATGCTAAAACACAAATGCTTTCAAGAAGGTAATTTATTAGACTCTAGCACCGAAATGTTAAACAAATGAGGTTTTCATTCACACAACAGGATGAATAGAATAAATCAACACTTCCAAACTTATGTTTTACAAGAGCCTTTTATTCTAAGCCTATACTACAAACTCAACTCCCTTGGATATGCTAGCTCCTTGGTTTTCCAAATTCAAGGAACATACATATGATTGGTTACAAAAATACCAGTGCCCATAAAAGAAATATTATGTAAAATATTTAAGAATAAGTCTTCCCTTTTTAAAAACAAAATTAAAAACCTAAGTCTTCTCTATATTAATAAAACTCATCTAAAAGTCTGGAAATAACTATTAACTAGAGTTCAATTCGACTATCATAGGTGATCAGGAAGAGTTACCAAAAATAGACAAAAGTTAGGCGAGATAGACATCAGGAACAAGAATAATGCCAAATTCTACATTTCTCTAATTTTCACAATCTCCATACCTGGCCAGTATCCCCTGGTCAAGCACCAAGGCACAGGCCTTTCTAATACATATATACAGTCCAACTTACCAATTGGTCTTTTTGCCGGGACAAATGCCTTCAGATTCTTCCCAGGGCGATTTGTTGTAGCGCCAGAGGAGGATGCCGTTTTGCAATTGGATGTTGAAGGCAACAGGGTACGTGGTTTCCTGGATGCAGCCACCTTGGCATTGGATGCTACCTTGGAGATGACAGTACTGAGGGTTGAGAGGTCCAGGACTGAGGGTCGCAACCTGCCTGTGATATAAGCAGCTAGCCTATTGGCTGGATGCAATGCCCCCATCTGTCCCAATAGCAACTTAGCCTGCGGGTAACTCTTACCATTAACCTGAAACAAGTGGCAAAGAGAAATTCTGTAAAGATAAAATTCTCTTGCTAACTTATCTCCCTTGACAGGGGTTTCATTTTTACAAGATTTTAAAAGTCTATCTTTCAGATTTAAAGGGAAAAAGAAACAGACTTTTTCCATTTGATATATAATCTGAGTATTAGAAGGTGGAAAAAAAAAAGCTGCCATCTGATATTCTGAACTAATCTCATCTTCATTTTGGTACTTTGGAAACAGAGTATCTTAGAAACCCATCATATCTGCTCCTAGATTTGTGAGAGATACAGTCAAATCTAAGGAATCATCCAACAGTTTTACTTAATAAGCAATTCTGGTTAAACTATTAACAATCACCCGCAAAAAATGAATAACTATGTTCCACAGACTCTGACAAGACCAAGGAGGCATAATGAAGCCCTCTCAAGGGTCCTTTCAAGCATCCCTCATATTTGAAAAATATATGGTGAGTCTACTTTTAAGTTATAAAAGGCCACTGTTTTAATATCCTAAGCCAAAAGGTCCCCTCAATTTTAGTTTTCCAAAAACTCAACTCTGAAGATCCTGTCATCTCTTGGACAAAACTCGAGCTCAAGATAAATGCTAGGACAAACTCAATTACAACTTTAGAAACAATCACTGAACCATCAGAAGAAAGTAATCAATAAATGAGGTAAAGATTTTTCTCTACTGCCTGAGTTGACATATTACCCATCTGGGGCAGCACAATTGCTTTTTTAAAAAAGAAAGAAAAACAAAACCTTCCCTAATTTTCTTACCCATGTTCCCAAAGTCCTATTCCTGGGTGACTAGAGAAGACATTCTTTTCTGTTCCTCCTTTCCATCACTGAAAAGGGGGAGAGCGTGAAGTGGTGGAGAAACTCCTACTCTCTAAATTGGTAAAGAGAATGGCTACAGAAAGCCACCCTCTCCTCAAAGACACAAAATGACACTTTACTACTTAAGTGAAACCATGATTATTCTCAGATAGATCAGAAATACCTCTGCCTTGAGTTTTATATAAAGAATGTGATCTTTCCATCCTAAAGGAAAATTTACTATAGCTTTTCAGGGTCTCTAGAGGTCTAGGTCAGATACCCTTATCTTCTCCTTGGGGACTTGCTCTGAAGACTATTCAACAGTTTCCCTAAAGCCTACATTACAGTGGCCTGACTGCTTATGCAAATTCCTATTTTATGGCGGCTTTCTGAGTCCTAGACAGGAAAGGAGAACACAAATTTCTATCCCTGTATTTCAGGAGGGGGTCAAGTCTCACTAGAAATAAGCTCAGTTAAGTCTCTGTTCTCAAAGTATCAATCAATAAATGAAGTAAGAAGAAAACCACTACTCTCCTCATTATTAAGAGTTTAAGAAATACGAACAGAAGCAGTTACATAGCACCATCAAGAGTAAACTGCAATAAAAAGTTTTTAATTAAATAGATCAGTCATATTACTAATGGGACAGTCCACAGCCCAGAGAAGGGGTCAAGCTAGTAAAGTCAAGTAACCTTAGCAAAAATGTCAGACACTTCCACCCACTTGCTACTCTGACATAAAAGTGCAAGAGGAGAAAACCTTTTTACTTTAACTACATTTTAATTCAAAACTTCTCCTTCCAAAGGATTTTCTAGATGCCAGTGTAATTTTACTAATATAACCTGCTTGAATTACTAAACAGCAAGGACTTATTTGTACTATGACAATGATTATATTAGCAAAAACCCTACTATGGACCAAATAAAGAAAAAAAAATGAACTGTGGCTCCATTTTTTAAAGTTTTATACATCTGAGTAACACCTTACAAAATTAAAATTTTCTCCAAGTTTCCAAATATATACTGCTTTCTTACAATCAATGTCCCCTCATTTTGTTTTGAAAGCTATTTGTTAATAATAATCCCAAGAACTAGACAGAACTCCTTAGTATCCTTGTTTAGTTGTCAAAGTATCACTAGAGCCCAAGCAATAAAACTTTAAGAGTAGGAACTTTCTGAGAAGACTGGAAATAAAATCACAAAGTAATATAGGGCTCTACAGTTCTGTTTGTAAATCTGTCAAAAATTCACTCTAGGTATGCATCTAAAAACTAGGCCTATTACAAAAAGAGATGATTTTGTCACCCAGTTCCCAGGAAATGTGAAGATAAATGATATAACGCCCACAAAGGGCTCTGAAAAATCAAGATGTTACCTAAGTAGAAAAAGGCGCTACATCCAGATTAAAGGTAATTCTCACCTGGATAAGCCCAGATGTGCTTGAACTGGGTTTACGTTTATAGGCCACAAGCTTCCCTGCAGGAGAAAGCCCTGCATAAAAAGGCAGACCTTTGCCTCCATGTAATCTCTCCCTCACTGAATCCAGGGCATCTGTCTGCACAGGAGAGATATCATCCATTTTCCCAGGGGATAATGGACCATCAGGAGTCTCTGATCCAGATTTCTCAGCCATATCATCTTGGTCTTGGCATGATGGCATAGAGATTTTCACACGAGAAGAATAAACAGGAGGGTTCTTCTCACCCCGGCTCTTTCGCTGAGAAGCCAACTCAATGATGAAGCTGCCCACCTTAAGTGACTGTGGCATGTTGCTATTGATGTGCTGGGATAAGATACTCAAAATCTTGTTCCGATCCTCCTCCCAGTTGCAGTCTGAGATGATTTCTATCAGTTTGGTGGGACCACCTGGTGACCTCTGATGCACATAGGAGGTAGAGGATTCCCCTTCATTGCAGGAAGACTTCCAGCTTTTTTCTGATAAAGAATTGAAAGATATTTCTGCATCACAGCATTTTGTACTGAACTTTATAAGATTTTTAGGGACACCTGGGTGGCACAGTCAGTTAAGCATCTGCCTTCGGCTCAGGTCATGATCCCAGGGTCCTGATTGAGTCCCACATTAGGCTCCCTGTTTCTCCCGATCCCAGGGTCCTGACTGAGTCCCACATTAGGCTCCCTGTTTCTCCCTCTGCCTGCCGCTCCCTCTGCTTGTGCTCTCTCTCTCTCCGACAAATAAATAAATTTAAAAAATAATAAAACAAAAGATTTTTATTTTCCCTGGTTTCTCAGAAAAGTGCCAATGCCACAGAAATTGAGCACTTGCCCAGTGTCTGAATCCCATGTACTTTCAGTGGTAATTTAACAACTCACAATTTGGGACTTTTCCATGAAAAAGAAATATTCCAGAGAATCAGACTATAATAGGATATCCCGCTGCCAGGGGTCACTAATAAAAAGAGAGTCCCACCTAAGACTGCTCTAAAAAGCCATGACTATTATGTAAGAGTGTTACCTTGCAAACAAAGCATGACCTACAACCAAGGTTAAGATTTGATATAGTTTAGTGTTCCGCTAGTTTAGTGTTCTGCTATCCATACAGGAAAAGCAAAAACACTTGCAAGATGCTTTGTAACATGTTATGGGTCTACCCATCAATCCTAAAGAACAAGAGAGAGAATATTGTGGTTAAAAGTGTTTTCTACTTCTAGTTTCTACTGCAAATACTTCTGAATTACTTCTGTGACTCTAGATATGACTGCTCCATTTCTACATTATGTGAAAATTATTTAGCTCCCCAGGTATTTATATTCATGACAACATGTTAACTGGATGTCTATTTCACTGGACACCTAGATTTCTAAATCATAGTCTCCCAACCAATGCTCTAATGACAAGTATGTCAGGATACAGATACCCTCAGCCTTCAAGGTGGTTGTGTTCTCAGACAGGTTCTCTCCACCCCAGCAGCCTCCCCCACATACCTCAGTGTGCTATAAAAATAGTATCACTTTTCATGTGTATTAAGCCATTAAAGGGGAGGGGAGCGCACACCTGGGTGGCTCAGTTGCTTAAATGTCCAACTCTGATTTCGGCTCAGGTCATGATCTAGGGCTCCTGGGACTGAGCCCCACATTGGGCCCCACATTGGGCCCCACGCTCAGCTGGGAGTCTGCTTGAGGATTCTCTCTCCCTCTCCCTCCGCCCCTACCCCCCACTTGTGCTGTCTTTTAAAAATAAATAAATAAATCTTAAAAAGAGAGAGAGAAGCACTAACTGTACCCTAAGTGTCTCTTGCAATCACATGCCGTATCAACAGGAATGAATTTTATTTCTAAGGAGTGATAAACAGACCGAATAACAGGAAAAGACTTCTCTATCGTCTCTATTTTTAGCAGAAGCTAGAAAAGGAGTAGGTAAAAATGTTTTGGTGTATGGGTGTGCCCTCCTTAATTATTATAAAATGATTTAAGACTTAATTTTCAAACAGACCTTGCGATTTATCAGAATCATCCTCTAGGTCACAGGTGATTGGTTTCAAGGGCTGCTGTTCAGAATCAGGCTCCTAAAGAAGGAAATAACACAAATACTTCAACACATAATTATTACCAATAGAGACTAGGACATAAACATTGAATCTCTCAAAGAAGGCTGAAATAGCAGAAAGACTCAAGTGTCAACAGCTTCACATCTACATGCACAGCTGCATTACTATCATATAAGTCTTGGCAAAAACAAGTAATCTTGCTCTCTAATGTCCTTGACAGTAACTGAGTCACCAAGAAAAAAATTTATACCACAATTTATAGTGTATTCTAGTAAAGAAGGAAAAATATTTGATGTTTAACAGAACAAGCTTCAGTTAATCTGAAAATTCACCAATGCAGATACAAATCCTAATAATTACAGGTAAAGGATTTAATAAAAACCAGAAATGTTTAAACTTTTAAAAATTACTTCAGCTTCAGAAAGAATAGTACTTTAAATAACCTTAAGGGACTGTTCTCTAGAACAGGTATGCAGAGAAACAAATTGATATGCACATCACGTAAGATTTCTCTGCCCCACAAGAATTACTCCAAATTATTCTGATAGTAATGTAAACTCTAATACCAGCAACGGGGAAATGGAAGTTAAAAAGACAAATTATGCAATAAGTTAATCACCTTTACACTACAGTTCTCGGGACTAGACTGACACGAGCCCTGCTGCTGAAATGATGGGGATGGTGATGGTGACGGTTGTCTCTGTTCCTCTTTTTTTCGTTCATATACTCGAACTCGGGCACAAGTCATCATACTCTCAAAGTACAAGTAGACTGGATCCTTGTCCTCTTCCCGAATCTGTAAGTTTCACAAAACAAAATATTCCATACACTGCGGAAAAAACATCCTAGACTCCAAAAGGAAAAGAATGTTTAATCTTCATTTCTATTATAACATTTGAAATTTTTAAATGTAAATTTTAACAAGTACAGTTAATATGTGCTAAATCTTGGGCAGTCAAAGGACCTGGTTCTCTATCAAGAAATCTCAGATACATCAGAGAAGTGCTTCTCAAATTATCTGCAACGAGGATACATTTCTGAATTACCAGTTCAACATAGACTGATTCTTTTGTAAAATAAATTTTTAGAAAAACAAAAGACATGTAAAATACAAGCCCAAGTTTTTTAGTATTAGATTTAATACACACACAATTATTCTATCAAGTATCTGTAAGAAGTTTCTAAATATTTACTCTCATTTTCTATATTTATTTCATCATAACCTAGTAACAAGTAGTTCTGTATCAGCACAAAGACCACACTGAATAGCATTGCACTAAGGCATCTTTCTTCAAAAAGACTGAAGACTGAAATGCATTTAATAATGAGAAATGCTTAAACTCTTAACAGAAGCATCAGCTTTTACCTATCAATCTTCATAGTCATATATCAACTATTATTTAAATCCTTTACTGTTACTGTATATAAAGAAGTCAGCTTTAAGAAGATCAGTTACTTCTTAAAACTTTTCTTAATGCTCTCCTACTAACAATATGTATGCATTACGTCTCAATTACTCAATATTCTACACTACAGGAAGAAGAGTACCTTTAAAAGACTTCTGCTAGTCATGTTTAAAAACAAAAACACAACTTTATATGATCTTCCTGAAGAGAGATTTGGCTATCCTTAAAAACAGCAGTAATTCTTAGTATATTCACTCCACTTTTAATAACATCTCTAAAGTGCCAGCAATTAAGCTGATTAAATAAGATTGATGCTTACAGCCATATTACTTAAAAGCAAAATGATTCACAGAATATAAACAAAAAATCTTGAAATCCATTATCTTTACAAATGGTTTATATAACTTGCAACAAAAGATGAAAACATGGGCTTACCACAGGATTGGGTTTGGGAGTATATGCCCGTGCAGGTTTAATTCCAGTGAGCACTTTGCCCTTCACAGTAGTAGGTAAAACTTCTGGCTGAGGCAACAACAATGGCTTCATAGGCTCAATGACAGAAGGTGTTGGGATATAAACTGGCTCTGGATCTACTTCACCTTCTACTTTCACCCATAATGGGTAATGTCGAACAGGCTGTTCAGGCTCTGTTTCACATATAGCTTAACAAAAAAGAAGGATAAGATTTTAAGTGACTTTAGCAACAAAAGTTCAGAAGCACTGCCAAAACAAAATGTATTTCCTCACAGGAAATGAGGAAATGAGTTTCATAACTCATTAAAACAATCTAAGAGATGCCCCCTAAAAAACCTTTGGTTGCCATTATATACCTTAATTTATTCATCTATTAACAAATATTTGTTGAATACCTATTACTGTTTTAAGCACTAGAGGCAACACAGCTATGAATAAAACAAAGTTCTTGCCCTCAGAGTTTATAGGGGAAAACAAATTTAACATTTAAAATCAGTAATAGTAAGTGCCACATAGTAAAATATAGCAGGATAAGGGATGAAGAGTTAACTGGAGATGCTATTTAGCATGATCAGAAAAGGCGTTCTCTGTTATCCTGAAAAGATAATCATTCTATGCTACACTTTTTATTTTACAAATAAAACAAGTATCTTTTGAGCCTCATTACATACTTATATTAAACACTTAATATGTTTTAACTTATTTAACTGTCACAATAGCCCTGCAGACATTATTATTCCCATTTTCCAGATGCTGAGGTTCAGAAATCCAACAATAAGAGGCAGAACCAGGATCAAACCCCATCAATATGGCTCCAGAGACACAGCTGTTACCGTTGCCCTCTGACAACAAAATGTATTCAAAAGACAGCCTAAGGTGCCTGGGTGGCTCAGTTGGTTAAGCGTTTCCTTTCCACCTAGGTCATGATCCCAGGGTCCTGGGTTTGAGTCCCACACCAGGCTCCCTGCTCAGCGGGGAGTCTGCTTATTCCTCTCCCTCTGCCGCTTCCCCCTGCTTGTGCGCAAGCGCTAGCTCTCTTTCACTCTCTCAAATAAATAAAATCTTAAAAAAAAAACTCCTATGAACTCAGCATAGGAGCAAAAATCTATCACTGGAAAAGCAATGAAACCAGAGATGAAATTATACTATCAAGGTCTACACAAAATAGAACAGGTATTATTATTTAACCATAAATGGAAGATCTAGGTTAAGCGGCTGCTAGCTTTATTCTCTAAGTAAAGTGCCCATTCCCATAAAGACGACAGCTAAAGAGAAACAAAGACTGTATTTTGCATTTTAATGGTCAGTCCTCAGGACTTAGCTGGTTCTAAGCCCAAAATCCAAAATCTTTGCCTACAGTCACATAAAATATGACTGAGCAGCATTCACATTTAATTCAAACATTTAGCTCAATTATCCTAACAAAGCTGAATCAAAATTGCATTTGCTCTGAACATTAAGACTCCACTAAAAAACTTTATCTAAAGGGTCCCTAAGGCTAATATCATTCAGAGCATAACCATAAAATGTTGAATAAATATGTGAAGATTAAAATAGGGAGGAAAAAAATTTTTAGAGCTAGAAAGTACTTGACCCAATTATTCTGCTAGTTAGCAGTCTCTGTGTAGGCAGATAGGGCTAGGGATCCCCATGGGGAAAAAAAAGACCAGTCTTGGCTTTCTAACGTCCTTTTAGGCCCCTAGCCATTTTGTGACCTGTACTACTTGCCCAAGCACACTTCTTGCAGAACTTCCTAGGTGTTGGAATTACCAAAAAAAAGCAAAAACCTCCACAGTTAAGGATTTTAAGAGAACAGAGGGAATGCAAAAAGTAAGAGTCTCTACCAGACCAGGAATTAGCCTAACCCTATCAGCAACAATAAATCAATGATAAAATTCCTTCCCAGTGCTGTTTCAAAAGTAAACACTGACCTAACACATATGACACAATCTTGAGTCATTTTTGCAGGATTCAAACCCTTTTGAGCACTCCAACAGTGGACTAAATGGAACAGAGAACTGATGATGCCAACCCTTGCTGGCCAGCCCTCATGTTTTCAATTAGGACCTGAATTCTGTGAACCAGGATGACTTTTGCCCCAATTCCATACAGAACTCTCCTTTGTCAAGCCCCTTCATGAATATGTATGTGCCCTTAGCTTAAAACTTCCATAATTTTGTTGTTTGTGTGGACACAGCTTTAGGAAATAGTCCTGGTATGGAGTAAAACCCTTACTCTTTCCCTGTTCTTTGGTTTGGTTGTGTCTTTTAGCTGGACAACCAGCAAGAGGCAAACCCAATTTGGGTAACATCTACTGTCCAACTTTTATGACCTAGTTAATTTACTCACATAATTCACAAAGGCTTCTAACACCCTAGTATTTATATATTTCAATGTTTACTATGGATCAGACTTTGCAGATATAATAATGAACAAGAATGACAAAAATCCCTGGCTTCATGGAGCTTACATTTAAAATTGGGGGAAGAGGGCGACACAGGCAATAAACCAGACAAATAAGGAAAATACGTTGGATTGTAATAAGTGCTTATGAGGAATGGGGGGAAAAAAAGCAGAGATAGGAAATAAGTAGTAATGTATAGTGAGTGAGCATGTATGACTATGTATTTTGAGGGGAGAGTGTTGCATTTTTAAAAGGGTAACCAGGGATGCCCCCACAAAGGAGGTGGGTATTAACAGAGGTTCAACCACTCATTTGATAACTTTACTTTCTAGTGTTCCTAATTAGTTCATACACATATTAATTCTACTACAAAAGTAAAGCTGCCTTCAGGACAAACACTATAGATGACTCTGACGTCTTTCAATCATCTTTAAGGCTTTTCCAAGCCTTTATAAGCTAAGGATTCTACTAAGTAAAGGTCCCTTTCCAACTTTTTCTTTTGAAAATAATAGCTACAAAAAATACAGTACAGTACTTCAGAAGAAAACCTCTTAAAATATTTTAAGACATCTTAATTCCTCATAGGAAATCAAAGACAACTCTAAAGTTTCAACTATGGATAAATGGGAAAATGGTGTTCCAGTAAACAGAGGACTTCATAAAAGGAGTTGATTGGGAAGGGTAGAGTTCAGTTCTCTTTAGGGCATGAAAGACTGACGTGCCAGCAACATAGTCAAACAGGGCACACAATAAAAATCAGAACTGTCACGGCACCTGGCTGGCTCAGTTGGAAGAACATGCAACTCTTGATCTATGTAAGGAGTTTCAAGCCCCATGTTGGGCAAAGAGATTACTTAAACGAGTAAGTAAGAACTTAAAAAAAAAGATGAGAACTGTCATTGGCAGAGCCTACATCTGAAGCCATAAAAATAGACAGACTCCACACAAAGGCAAGAACAACAAACCAATTCCTTATACTTCATTAGGTCGCTGTGCACCTGATTCCTTTACACTGCTAGGGATCAAAGATACAGTACTTCTCTGCTCCCCTTCACAATATACCAGGGATCCTCCTACCCTTCACCTAAAAATCCAGAAAAAAAAGAGCTACTTAAGGAGAGAGCCAGAATAGAGCATTATCCACAGAAGCCAAGAACAGAAACCTGTTTCAAGAAGAGTGGATAGTATCCCCTTATTTCTATTTTAAACGCTTCCTAACATTATCTGACCAAGGTCCTCTAACATTATCAATGTCTTCTGGGTTCTCAATAAGCCTTTTGTTCATGACACAACATTATGGCAAATTTGTTACTGTGGCACTTAAAATTACAATAAAGAGGGGCATCTGGTTGGCTCAGGTCAGTTAAGCATCTGCCTTCAGCTCAGGTCATGATCCCAGGGTCCTGGGATTGAGCCCCGGTCGGTCGGGCTCCCTGCTCAGCGGGAAGTTTACTTGTCCCTCTCCCTCCTCCCCCCACCATGCTCATGCTCTCTCCCTCTCTCAAATAAATAAGTAAAAATCTTTCTAAAAATTACAATAGGGTTCCCACATATCTGTTTTGTCAAATTGAGAGTAGCCTCTTAGAGATGGACTTCATTTTAATTATCTATATCTTACCTCCTGTCACTTAGCACGGTTCATAGCATTTGCTCCAGAAATGAATAATGTTAGACACAAAAGTCCCACAAAACTGCTATGCTAATAATCAGCATACTATATATTCCTCTCCCTCCCATTTTTGTATGCCTCTTAAGCCTTTCTATTGTGAAATGTAATATTCAGTTGATGCAGAAACAATTTATATACAACTTAAAACATATTAACAAGTATATACCCATATAAACACTACACAGGTCAAGAAATGAAATACTGCCATCAAACCCAGGAGCCCTTGCATGCCCTTTATCAATCACAATTCTTTCCCACAAAAGAAATCACTTAAATGATGGCTACCTTTCCACTTTCTTTTTTTAAAGCCAAAGTACATACACCTAAATATCACAACGTAATTTTGCCTGATTTTGAAATTTATATAAATGTAACCATAGAAATATATTATTTTGCCTAAGTTTCCTTTCACTCAACATTGTATTTGTAAAATGCAACTATGCTGTTGCACATACCTAAAAAATTCATTTATTTTTACTATGATGTACTACTCTGATTAGTCATACTATTGTTTATTCATTCTACTATTACTAAAATATCTGGAGTTGTTTTCAGGTTTTAGCTACTGTGAATCATGGTACCCTAAATAATCCTAAAAAAATGCAGTTCTGCAGATTACTCTGAAGTCAAACTATTAGATCAAGGGCATGTGAATCATCAACTTTAATAAATATTGCCAAACTATTTTCCCAAGTAGTCATACCAATTCACATTTCCATCAGCAGTGTATGAGAATTCCCATTTATCAACATTTGATATTATCATATAATTTTAATTATAACCATTCTGGCAGTCATGCAGTAGAATCTTGCTGTGGATTTACTCTGTACTTCTCTGACCATGAATGAGATGTTCAACATCCCTCTTCATGAAATACCTCTCAAAGTCTCGCCCATTTTTTATGGGACTGTTTAATTCTGATTAATTTATAGACCTCGCTACGTATTCTGGATACAGATTCTTAGTCAGATATTGCAAATATCTATTCTCTCACTGTAGCGTATATTTTCACTGGCTTAATATCTTAAAGACCTAAATTTCTCATTTTAATTTGTAAGAAATGTTTTCTTCTATCATGATTAAGAAATCTTTTCCTAGGGGCACCTGGGTGGCTC